TTGGGTTGTTGTGATTCCCATGGCTCCAAAGAGACTGAAGTGCAGGAATCTTGACTGAGTTTACTTTGTGCAACACCAGGTGAGTGCTATGGGGCCCTGCCTGGCAGGGGAGTTCTCGCTCAGTCTGGTAGTTCTGCGAGGGCACAGAGCTCTTAGATTGGGGATCCCCAGGCCAGGAGGTGGCTGGGGACCAAGTGGTATCAAGTTCTTGGGCTCTCAGACCACTGAGAGGCCGCGGAAGGACCGAGACTGGGAGTGTGTGGGCACACGACGGGCTGACCCACAGCCGAGAGAAACGGGGGAGGGAGAGAAGAAAGAGGCCCCAGTAGCACCCCATGAGAGGGACTCGGTTACTGTACTTGCCTGGCTAGCTTGCTTGAAGATGTGGGCCCCTGTGGCTGGAACACAGAGAGGTTCTCCAGGCAGAAAGTTAGGCGCAGCGGCTATGGTGGCTTGGCATTAAAGGCTTTCTCCGAGTTTTCCCATGGTGATCCCTAAAGACATGAGAAAGTCCATGGTTCTAAAAGGGTTTATTTTCATGGCGGATGTAGATGGATCTTGCAGTACTCCCATAAAACTCAGGGCAGGCCCGAGTTAAATAGGGAGGGAGAAGGGGGAAGGATCTGGGGAAGAATGCTTAATTGGCTCTGCCCTCTGGCCTTCAGGTATCTCATTAGTATGTAAATCCCTCAAGGGCCTGAGGCCAGTAGTCATGCCCTCTACCTGTGCACTTTGGGAAGGGCTGCAATGGCCTACATGACTGAACAGTGCAGGTCAATGGAGTTCCATGCCACCTGTTAGGAGCCTGGATTCTGGGAGCATGGTGAAATAGATGCTCGTCCCTCACAGGCAATGGACACTTGTTGGGTCTCCAGGCTATTTCCAGCCAGTGCTTTGACCAAAACCAGCCAATCTGTCATGGTCCTACAGTTTAGTTGGGGTGCACTGTCTTTTGGGAGAAAATGTACCCACCTGAGCTAAGCTGTACTCTGTATTTCAAGAGATGGCTCAGTACTAATCTACACCAGCAGATCAGAGCATCCTAGAGATCAGAGGAACTGCAGTGTTGGACACTCACAGGGTCAGGCTTGGAATGAGACTAGACCACCGTACTCAGTACAGGGAAGAGGAGTCGCTGGGCACTGTCATTTGGCTTGTGTGAGAATCTCAGGAGGGATGGATGGACTGAGGGAACCTACATAAATCAGGGAGGTGTCCTGTATGCTTTCTCTTCAGCCCTGTGGCTCATGAAAATCAGTCACATTCACTTTCTTATACTCTCTGGCTTTATTCAGAAGTTCAAGGGCTGGATCTAGATCCTGTTGTGGTCTAGAAGACCTTAATCCAACAAGAGTGCCCACCATTGTCAGGGTTTTAAAGGACAGGAGAGTAGGAGAGAGGATTGGGAAATGACCATAGAAGGATAGCTCTAGAGAACTCACCTTTGAAGGGATGGATACAAGATTTAAGAGCAGCAATATCTCCATGAACTTTGGTCAAGAAAAGATAGCACTACATTTTGAAAGATGCAATTCAGAGCTAGGTCTGAGGTTCTGTTTGGAGCTAACAGCCATATCAAGAATGTCCTAGTACCATTTGCAGGAACAGGAGGAGGGACAGGAGTGGAGGCAGGAGGAAGGAGGACAAGGAATAGCATAAGTAAGTCATTCAGGATCAGGCACAGGGTAGAACAAGAGCAAGGCATATGCAGAGCAGACACAGGGGCAGCTACCCATTGGAGAGAGAGTGGCCCAGATCCAGATTCACAGATCACTCCCCCCTGATAACCAAAACCCAGGCTTTAAGGCAGAGCAGTAATCTATCCCATGTTGGGGCATTTCCTGATAGAAACATGGTTCTTGAGAGCACAGAGCCAGTCTGAATCCTTACAGGTTTGGACACAAAGTTGTGGAAGTGTCAGGTAAGGGAAATGTGATATCATTCCTGAAGGAAGGCATCAGGTTTATTTTGAGCTCGAATCAGAGTGTGAGTCATGCATTCCTTAGACCAGAATCCATATGTGAAGCTCTACACACTACTCTAGAGGTTATGAACAAGGATTGCTGGGAAATTAAGTGAGAAATCCTGGCTCAGGTGATTCACAGGCAGTCAGGTGTCATAGATTCAAGAAATCTGTGCTCAGGTCTGCTTTAATCCAGGTAGCCAGGAGAAGGGCCACTTGAGTGGTTTAAGTCATTTCCTAATTTACATCAGCTCTGCAAGTCATGATGTGTCTGGGGTCCCAGCCACATCACCTTGTGTTCCTTTGTAGTCTGCCTTCCATGTTTGGGGCTGGCCCTTCTATCTTCCCAGGAGCTGCAGTATTAGGAGGGCACCATCTCTCCCTGTCCTTTCCTGTAGGTTATCCTGAATCCAATAGCACATTACCAATAGATTCTCATTATGTTCACAATGTCCTAGTTTGAACTTCCAGAATGAAGATGCAGAAATACAAGGGGAGCCTTGACCTGGACGATGAGGCTTGTTAAATGTACCAAATATATATTCTCACATGAATCCAGGAAGCAAACAAAGATCCTAAGAGAATAGGCCTGTGTTATTGGACAGTCAGTGCTGTTTTACTTGACAGTGAGACAGGAACAGCCAAAGGGCATTATATGTCTGCAGTTCCAAAGAAGATCTAAGACTATAGGTGTGAGGCGTCAATAATTATGAGGAATGTAGAGAACTGAATGCCAGAAGGCTGTAGTCACTGATGCGTACACCTTTCTGTGTGAGCAGATGCCAGGCTCATTTTGACTTCCAGTCTCTCTCTCTCTCTCTCTCTCTCTCTCTCTCTCTCTCTCTCTCTCT